TATTTTATTGTTAGAGTGTAGCCAATTACAAATAAGAAGGAATAATTTATAATTGGCCATTTATACCTACAAGGGATCGTAAGATGCGATCACTGGGACGCAGTTACGTTGATCTTCATCACAGTACGCGTAGTTTCTTATAGAATCTCCACTACGATCAATGCGCCATAGTTACGCGTAACTGCGGCACAGTTGATAAAAAAGAGACGACATGGGTGACTTATAGAATTTATTCGGATTGTTTATTTTTAATGTTCGTAGTATCGAAAACGTAAAAATCCATTTCAAAAGTTTACAAAACCACTGCATTCAATAGTCGAGTAACTTGGCAAATCACAGAAAATTATCCTAAAAATTACTGAACGAATCATACAGTTCAAGAGAGAGCACATTTCTTCTTGGCTCTTCTTAGCTTCAGATTTCATCAGAAATCGTCTCCTTAAAAGACTCGAGTTGACTTTCATTTGATAGCAGACTATTTGCAATGTCACAGAAAAATTTTACAGAACTAGATCATGTTTTCTTCAAAACGAATCTATTACTCTTCATATCGATCTAGTTTTTATTCCATAGAGTGTACATTTACGTGACTAATTGAATAACATATTGAACAAAATCACTTAATTCAATTAATATACTCTCTCCTTTATATACGACTAACTTATAGCAACGAATTTTTATGGCGACGAGGGGTCGTGCAACGATATGTACTAGTGCCGACGGATTGACACTAATTATTAAGTTTTATTGTTTGTTTGCTCTATTCAACATATCCTTTCTATACCATGAAAATAATTCCTAAGAAGCAACGAATTGTTGTCTAGGATCGCATAATTTATCTATTAATTCTTTCTTTGTAGGTACGTATCCATATGTAACTTCATCGAACTGTAGTATCGGCGGTGCATGTACAGGCCTTGGTTTACCACCAAAATACATTGGAGATATATATGGTGTTGTGAAAGCTTATACAACACGTGTTGGTGATGGTGTATTTCCAACCGAGCTAAAAAATGTTAGACCAAATAAAAACATCTCAATGTATTATATGTCTAAAGATGATTTGATCAATTTTTATAGGAAATAGGTGAACATTTGCAAACACGTGGTCGTGAATGGGGTGTTACAACTGGCCGAAAACGTCGTTGTGGTTGGCTTGATCTTGTTTTACTTAAATATACAAATATGATAAATGGTTTTACTGCTTTATGTTTAACTAAACTTGATACACTGGACGAATTAACAGAGATCAAAGTTGCAACAACATACAAACGAAATGGAGTTGACTTACCGAATTTTCCTGGTAAAAATATTTCAACCTTCGTTTTTATTAATATTATCATGTTTTCTTTTTATAATTTTCAATAGCATCAGTTGATACGATGCATGATATTGAAGTTGAATATGTAACTTTTCCCGGTTGGCGTGGCCGTTCAACGTCCGAATGTCGAACATTTAATTCACTACCACATAATGCTAGACTTTATATACAATTTATTGAACAATATCTTGGCGTTCCTGGTTTGTAACTTTATTCCTTTTCTTTCGAATCTTGTACAACTGTAGCAAGTCTTACATTTCTCTTTTAGTGAAATGGATTGGCGTTGGAAAGGATCGTATGGCGATGATCCGCGTCTTTTGAAAAATTTTCATGTCTTCGTAATATTGATAAATGCAACGAGAATAATGATCAGAAGTAGATCTCATACGACTGATATTCATTTTTTTTTTAATTTTGAGTCACATTTTTTTTCTCACAAATCAACATTTTTTAAATTACCATTATATTTAAATATTATTTTTGTCACATGCATTGCAGTGTATTCTTTTTTCTCTCAGTCCTTGACACTTCCTTTTTCCGTGATAACCTGTTTGATGCTTTTGTATTGGCTTGAGTAGACGTGTGCATATTATTTTATTCTATTTTACTATATGAATGACACAATAATCGGAGAATAAATATCGATAAATATATTCGGTTCCTTTTTACATTCTGCTGCTATTCTTGTCGAAATAGCGGCAAGACAATTACATTGGTTGGCTGGTTTTCTGATTGTTTTGTTATACACGAACAAATAAATTTTCTCGAATAAATTCCTGACAAAGATTTTCATGATTATTTAAAAAGCAGAGCTGAATGAGCATCGCCTAGTATTGTATTTGAAACTTGTGTGATCAGGGTTGTACTAGAATGTATCGTTCTTACTTGAGTTAAGTTGGATGTCGTTCGAAGGCCACTTTCGCTATATTGATTTCAGAGTCAGGTGATCTACCTACTCAACAGAATTTCATTGAACACTCTCGGCGATCATCACACTAATAAATGCTATTTTTTGCCTATACGTACATGATTTGGACGTGTGGAGAACATATTGTTGACTTTTAATATGATCATTGACTAGTATTGGCATACAATACGTGTTTTGCCAAGTACAGCAAAAAATGAGATGCTTATTCGAATTAAAGCAAGACCAATCGTTTCCCCAATAGGCACTGGAATTACAAGCAAAGTAGGCTGATTCTATTTCAAACACAAAATTTATCATGTTTTGAATTGCATAGCGCAATACCTATGACTATTATGAAATTCACTATACGACATTCCTATTACATAAGCTAATATCGATTCATTTTGCATACGTGTGCCATAGTCGAAAAGACACGAAGTGAATGCGTGATTTGAATTGAAATTTCGACAGCAACCAACATAACTATGTCATTTGACCGATATGCACGTATGAATATAGGAGATCTTAAATGTACATGATAGCCCTACGTTTGAATTCAGTATCGAGCATCGGATAAATGTGGATCAAGGCGAATTCTTTTTTTCTCGTCTTGATACGGTTGAAAGCGTCGCATTTACGTTAATTCAGACATTTTTTCCTTCGTTTTGATATAGTTCAAAGCAATGTCTTAGTGTAAATTGAAGCGATTTTTTCTCTTTTGTGACATGGTTTGAAATATTATACTAACGTTGACCGAAGTGGGTTATGTTTCCTTTTTCATATATTTATAAGCACTAAATATGTTGACCGAGGCCAATTTTCTTTTCTTTATGATACGGTTCGAAGCGCAGTAATATATATATATATATGTGAACTGTGGTGACTTCGTTTTCTTCATTATGAAGTATAAAATATCTATATAGCCATTCGTCGCAAATTTTATAAAATAGTACAGAGCATTTCTATGGTAGTTCGTCACGAGTATTCAGTAGATGTGTCATTCGTTCTTTTTCTCAAGTTTACATTTTGCATTGCGATGGCCATGAGAATACAAGGACAGACAATGTTTGCTTGAAACCAAAATGAATGGATTGAGATAGAATCGATTTCCGCAGTTTCAAGATCTTTTCAATGCATTGAACCGAAGCTAATCCAAAACGTTTGTATCAGAACGAAGATAAGTATAGCATCAAAGGACGCCGCGGAGCATTTCAACAATAGAATTATGTCTGTTTTTTTGACTATGTCACTTATGTCGGGCTGAAATTCAATCATCAGTAGTCCTCGAAATTTTACTTTGATGTTGAGAAAGGTCTTCTGTTAGTGTTGAATTTAGAATGCTTTCTTCATTCCCTCAGATGATCCTACATATATGTTTGAATACGTCTTGGAGATACTCTCGTTCGTTATTCTGCGTATGATCTAGTATCATCAAGCGTCGATGTCTAATAAATTAAACGTAAAAGGCATATTCAATTTTATATTCATTCATAGATTAAAGTTTACTTTTGATATTTATGCATTTGTTCGTTTTATTTCTTCTTCTCTGTCCAATTCCGAGTTCAATATGCGAAGAATAAAAGAAAAAGCGTTGAGATATTTTTTACCACAACGAATGTTAAACTAAAAATCATGCTATAATATCAACTATCTAGATAAACACAAGCAATTTATAGAAACTGGCATGGGAAAAGTAGTTTCACCGAATCTGTCCAAGGGTAAGTACTCAATCGATTGAAAATAAACATACATACATATATTGTGTATGATGAGCATATTTTATTGTTATTATTCTATTTTCATATAGTAAAATGTCTACTGCTATCGGTGACATCGAGACTAAAAGAAATCTACTTATGAATTCAATAATGTAGGATATCAATGAGTTATCTTTGTAATTCTACAGCAAGAAGAAATATTTTACTGGCTAATAAAGTTGAAAAAAAAACGAGAGGCGTATTCTACCTTGAGATTGAAAATAATCGAATAAAGTCTAACATGATTTTTTTTTTCTATAGTTGAATCGGATTCGATTAGTCGGCATCGACGAGGCCAATCTCCTACTACTGACCATCGACACAAATCCATTTCATCGATTACTCCATCAGATCCATTGACAGTTACACTACCAGCAGATGAATTTACACTACAAAGACATCTTGGTCTATCGTCAGGAGTCTGTTTAATTATTGGTGTCATTATTGGTATAGATTCTAAGATATTATATTTTGTTTTTCGATTTTCTATTATTATTAGGCTCCGGAATATTTATTGCTCCGAAAGGTGTTCTAGAACATACAGGATCGGTTGGTCTATGTTTAATTATTTGGGCTTTATGTGGAATATTTGCTTTACTTGGTATATTTTTTGTAGATACAATTCTATTCAAATTATATATTGAAATTTTTTCTAGGAGCGCTTTGCTATGCAGATATTGGTACCGCCATACCGAGAAATGGTGCTGAAGTAGCTTATTTGAAAGAAGGTAAATAAAATAAAATAAAATATAGACGATTATAATTTCTGTTGATCTCAAACAAAACCTTTTGCTTTTGTTTTCTTTTTCTTTTAAAGTTCATTAATAATTATGCATAAAAAGTGGTATATTTTGTTTTGTTTTGTTAATGAATTATTTAATATGGATATATTTAATCATAGGTATTGGATCAGTTCATCCACTAGCAGGTGATATATCAGCTTATCTATACAATTGGACGAATACATTCATTCTGAAACCAGCAAGTATTGCTGTTCTTACGACGACTTTTGCTAAATATTTTTTGCTTGGGGTCATGGATAGTAAATATATATATATTGCTCCACAGTATTACTTAATTTGTACATCGACGTTCATTTTTAGGTTGTGGTCCTCCAGACGAATTGATTCAAATAACAGCGATATTCATTATTCGTATGTTGTTATTTTTCTTTTGTTTTTATTTCTATTTATTTCTTTTCATACTTAGTAACACTTGTCAATATAAACTCACTTAGTGTATCAGCAGCAAATCGTCTTAATATCGTTTTTGTCATTTGTAAAGTATTGACTGTCATGACAGTAATAATCGTTGGGATGATACGATTGGGACAAGGTAAGCTCTTGCTCTATGTAAAACGTACGTTAAATGAGCTTTATCTTTTCTTCTCAGGAAAAACAGAACATCTTAAAAATGGCTTCGAAGGTAAACGGCAGCTGATTATGATGATCTAGCGAATAATGTATTCTTTTTTTGCGCTAGGATAGGTACAACAAAGACGCCGTTAGGTGTTTCTCTTGCATTCTACTCTGGCCTGTGGGCATATGATGGATGGAATAGTCTGAACTCGGTAACGGAAGAACTTAAAAATCCTAAACGGTAAGATTCGAATCGAGACGATCGATTGAATACAGCCAGGCACATTATATTACCCAGGTCGAACATACACGGTCGTATACGACGGTAAATCGCCGTATTTGGCCGTATTACATGGCTCCGTATTACGATCGTAAATCTCCGTGCCGTATACGGCGAAATACGGCGCTTTACGGTCGTTTTTGATCGTATTTCACCGTATTACGACACGGAGATTTACGATCGTAATACGGAGCCATGTAATACGGCCAAATACGGCGATTTACCGTCGTATACGGCAGAAAACGGCCGTATACGGCCCGTATTTCACCGTATACGGACGTCGTAAAGCTCGTCCTGGGATAGTTCTGTGCCTTTTTAAAAATACTTTTGTGCTTTATAGGAATCTATGGTTATCTATTGTATTGGCATTACCAGCTCTTACGATTATTTATGTTTTTACTAATATTTCATATTTTACGGTATTAAGCAAACATGAATTGCTCGTTTCAGATGCTGTTGCTCTAGTATGTAGCAGAAAATAAGCCTGTTGTTTTCGTTTTTTGTTTAATCAAATATACTGTTCTATTGATAGTCATGGGGTGACGTTGTATTGAAGGGTGGCGTTTCAGTTTTGGTTATTCTCATTTCTATTAGTGCATTGGGCAGTGCTAATGGAACTCTGTTTGCAGCGTCTCGAAATTGTATGGTTGGTGCTCAATATGGATATTTGCCAGAAGTATTTGCATGCATTCACTCGAAGAGATTGACACCACTGCCCAGCATTGTCTTGCAGGTTGTAATAGTTGTTAAAATTTAAGTACACATACTAATTGTGAATATTATTCTATTTCTAGGGATTTATTGCAATTATTTTCAGTTTTGTGAATGATATTGAGTGGTTAATTGACCTTTTCAGTTTTGCCGCATGGATATTTTATGGATTAACATTTTTCGCCACACTTTGTTGTAAATCTACCAAAAAAGATGTAGAACGAGTACTTAGTGTCAGTATTTATTGTTGTTAACGGCAGCATAAAATATTAATTCGAAAAAAACATTTCATGTTTAGGTTCCTGTCCCATTGATTGTATTTATGATTATTGTGTCAACCTATTTGGTTATTGCACCTGTTATTAAAGAGCCACAGTATTCATATCTTTTGGTAGCAGCAGTGATTCTATTTGGATTGGTATTTTATTATCCATTCGTCTATCTTAAGAAGGAATTGAAGATTACAAGTAAGAAAACAATCTAATCATGTTTTTCCCTAATGATTCTATATCGGCTCTATGAATTTTTAGAACAAGTCAATGCGTTTTTAACAACATTCTTCGACTTGCACCGAGCACACATCAGCATATAATGACAATATCATGACTTACTTCTATTGTAGTTTTTTTTCTCTTGAATATAAATACATAACATAATTACTCATTGAGTCTTCGTAATATTGATAAAATCGAATAATTGGTCGAGTCTAATGAAGGCTTTGTTCTACTGAACGGAATAATCGACAATCTTACACATGACATATTTACTTTTCTATTACAATCATTCAAAGCGAACTAATAATTATAACGAAGTCAGAATGGAAGGAAGATTTGTTTTAGCTGAAAATGTGACTTCATAAGTATCAACAAACAATTCTATGAATTTTGTCGTTGTCGTTTCTCTTCAATATTTTATTTCTATCTGCTGTGCGTACCGAATTAAATTTATATTGTATGCTGCATTCAGTTGTATCATTTTCGCTGATTAAAAAGCATTGTTTGGCACTTAATGCTTTTCTTTCTGACACGCGAGAAAGGTGAGAAACTAACAGATAAGAGTAAAAGGTGTCGCTATCATGAGAAACATTGAATAAAGATTATGCTATAATGCCAATCATCGAAATAATCATTAGCATTTGATGAGATCAATACGATCAATAGCACGGCATCTGATCAAGCAATGAGTAAGCCGCCAATATATTATTCTAATATAGTGAAAATGATTATTCAGAGTCCTGCAAATTTTTTTATGCCTATGTAATAAAGTAGTACAGATAGATGAGTCTTCTTTTCGTACTACCTGCCAGAGCAGTAAATGGAATGTGTCATGTGTTTGTAAAATTGAATACTATCTATACGCGAATATCTTCTTATCTAGCTTCTAATGGCTCAGTTCACCGTCATGGTCAATCTGTGGCCATTGAAAATCGACGTACATCAACTAAATTCAATAGTCAACTAGCATTATTAACCGCTGAGTCGCCAAAAGATGAAGTCGTATTGAAAAGACGTCTGGGTTTATTTTCGGGAGTCTGTATTGTTATTGGAACTATTATTGGTAAAGACTGATATTGTGTGTGGGCGATTTTTATGATCGATTATTTGGCTGTATTAGGTTCTGGAATATTTATTTCTCCGAAAAGTATTTTAGAAGAAACAAAATCTGTTGGTCTCTGTTTGATTATTTGGACCATATGTGGACTAATTTCGATACTTGGTATGGTGTTGAGAGAAACATTTCCAGTTGGAGTAGACATCTATGTGTTCTTTCTAGGAGCTCTTTGCTATGCTGAAATCGGTGCAGTGATACCGAGAAATGGTGCAGAAGTAGCTTATTTGAAAGAAGGTATGATATGCAAGGAGAAAAAGAAATCGATTTTGACAAAATCCTCAATCTATTTTCACGGAATAGGTATTGGATCAGTTCACGGACGAACAGGTGATATATTAGCGTATCTATTTATTTGGACAAGTACATTAATCACTACACCATCAACTATTGCTGTTATTTCTCTCACTTTTTCGCGATATTTCTTGTCGGGTGTTATGGGCGGTGAGTTGTATTGTCTACACTTTTTTCTTTTTTTTCTATAAATTTAGATTCATATTTAGATTGTGGACCTTCAAAAGAACTTGTAACAATCTTTGCAATATTTACTATTCGTATATTACTTTTTTTTCTCTCTCGTTCTGTTTATTATTTATATTTATGTCGTCCATTTAAAGTTATGCTCATCAATGTTAATGCGATCAGTGTATCAGCAGCAAATCGTCTTAATATTATTTTTGTCATTTGTAAAGTTTTGACTATTATGACAGTAATCATAGTTGGTCTTGTACGAATAGGACAAGGTAAGTTCTTGTCCTGGTTGACCAATAAACTAAATTCTGTTTCTTGTTAGGACATACATTGAATTTGAAACATAGTTTTCATGGTAGAGTGCGATTGACTATGATGATAGAGCGAATAATATATTATTTCGCACTAGGATAGGTACAACAACTAAACCATTTGGTGTTGCACTTGCATTTTATAAAGGTCTTTTTGCATATGGTGGATGGAATAATCTAAATTCAGTAACAGAAGAACTCAAAAATCCCAAAAGGTATTTAAAAACATAGATTTTAAGATGATACTCAATAAAATAAATACGTTTTTAGAAATCTATGGTTGTCTGTCGTATTGGGCCTACCGTCGGTTATTGTTCTTTACGTTCTTACGAATATTTCTTATTTCACTGTGATGAACAAAGTGGAACTACTTAGTTCCGATGCTGTTGCTGTTGTATGTCGAAAAATTTGCATTGAATTTATAATATTTTTATATAGACATGGGCTCAAGTAGCATTAGGTCCTGCTGTTCGTGCACTACCCATTCTCATTTCTATCAGTGCATTGGGAAGTGCTAGCGCCATCTTATTTGGTGGTGCTCGATGTTGTATGGTTGGTGCTCAATATGGATATTTACCTGAACTCTTTGCCTGTATTCAAAGTCAAAGATTAACACCATTACCAGGTGTTGTCCTTCTGGTTGTATTATCTATTTGATAATCGAGAATTGCGATCATACTCTTTTATATTTACTTTTAAAGGGCGTTCTAGCAATTGCGTACTCGATTCCAAGTGATCTCTATGCATTGATCGATTTTTTTAGCTTTTCAGTATGGATCTTTTATGGTTTAACGTTTGTCGCTACATTATGCTGTAAATTTACAAAGAAGGATGCGCAACGAATGATTAATGTATGAAGATTCTGTTTTTGATAGTGGAAAAGATAGATAGAAATGAAAGTTGATTTCTAGGTTCCGATTCCATTAGTGATCGTTATCATTTTGATTTCCATCTACTTAATCATTGTTCCTGTTATATCTTATCCAAATTTTGGATTTCTTATCGCTGCTCTGGTAATTCTATTCGGCTTAGTATTCTATTATCCATTTGTTTATCGAAAAATCGAATTGCAATTGATGAGTAAGTTACGAAGACCTAATTATGTGTTATTCTATTTGATATAATTATTCAAAATCGTAAAAGCGAAACTTTTCTATTTTAAGAAAAAATCAGTTCATCTTGTCAAGTATTTTTCAAATTACAGCGAGGACAAATAAATATTGAATAGGTTATCATTTTTTTTTTGTTGTCTACTTTTTATTTTTCAATACATCGATGCATGAAATAATATTGGAATTCATTTTATTCTTGTCGTTGACACATAGGTAATGATTCATATTCCCATTCGCTATGTTGACATTGAATATCAATAACGTGAGAAGTTGTATTAGCGATCATTGTATTTTCATGACATGAATATCTGGTTAATTGATAATATTTCACGTCACCATGTATTATATAAGATTCAGCGCTTTTCCAACCTTGTTCAATCGTATCAGGCATGGGTTCAAGACAACCACTGTCTAGAATAAATGAAAAAAACATACAACGAACACCATCATTTTTCTATCCCATTTCGGAGGAAGAGAAAGCGGTTTTTATTCTTTCTCTTTAAAATACATACGAATACATATTGGGCGGGGCCCCCATCGTCCATTTCGACATTGAATATGTAATGGTCCTGATTGCCGATCATGCACAAAGTTCTCGAGACATCGATAAGTAACTCTACTACCATCATCATAGTAACCTTCAGTTGTTAATTTTGCAAAAATTTGCGTTCGAGCATTGGGAATAGTAATTCCACTTTGACAACGACGTTTGAAAGGAGCTATAGAAAACGAAAATGTATCGATGTAGAACTATTCAAGAGATTTCAATTTATACTGATGCATAAAGATGGCGGGGATGACCATTGACCATCGTCAAGACAAGTCATGTTAAAAACTGAATTTTCACCAGTTGTTTTATCCAAACAATTGAGAACAATAAAAGAACCAGGAATAGCCTCATTGATCGATGTATCGAATACATTGATCAGAGAATCGATAGTTGAACTTCGAATTGGATCGACCGGTGGCGGAAGTGAACATCGAGGTTTTTCTTTGAAAATTTATAAACAAAAGAGTAACTCGAAATTTTTTCATTGACAGAATTACTTACCAATGCAAATTATTTTCGGATGAAACGCACCATTTTGACATGTTAATCGAAATGGTTCATTTCCACCGACATCACTTGCAAAACCATGTTGACAAACAAATAAAATTGAGCCACTATAAGTTATTTCATGATTGGCATTATGTTTTAGAGTATCATCACTTAACAATTGAGCATGCTCTATTTTCGGTATTTCTTTACAATAGGACATCGTGTGACGAATTTGTCGGTTAGCAACAGTTGAAATGAAACTACTTTCATTTGTTATATTCATGGCTGGTAACTGCTCATCTAGATTAACAGTCGTATTATTCTCTTCCGTTGTATGAGATGGCATTGTTGAAAATGCGAAAAAATCTTGTTCAATAGTTTCCATTGCTACAATAACAAAATTAATCTCATAATCGATAGTTTCGAGAAGGATTTTTTGTTTTGTTTATCTCTTCAAACTTACGCGATTGACACTTGGAAATATTGATTGCATCAGTAGACCATGTGCCATCCATAGAACATGTAATAAAACTTGATTTATCAAATGAAGATTCATCTCCTGATTGACACATAAGGAAAAGTTTAGTACCAATACTATATGTAACATTTAATTCTGGTTCGATTAAAATTAAATTCGGAATAAGAGGAATCTCATGTGAATTACAAACGATTGTATGAGTAACATCGGGTACTGTCGTATAATTTTCATTGTCTATTGTTGTTTGAAATTGATTTACCGTTGAACTTATTGTGTAATCTTCTTCTGGATCGTTATTCGTTGGGTATTCTTCATGTATACTTGTTATCATTTGTGTTGTCGTTTTAATTGCTAAAAAAAAGAAAAGGATTTATAGGAAAGTAACGAAAAATATTTTTCCATCTACCTCGGCAGATCGGTATACCCGTCCAAGTATTTTCGTGACGTTGACATTTTATTTTTAATGGTGGACTCGAAGGATCATGTTCAAAATTCGGTAAACAAATTCGAAGAACATATGAATTATAGACAAATGCTAATGGATCCCGAATATATTGAAGTGAAACTATATACCAAAAAATGAACTTAAACATTTTGCTTTCCTCGTAAAATTTTACCATTATGAACATACGAATTTTGAACTTGAGATTCAATGTCAAGCAAATCTTGTTTTGGGCATGTTGATATTTCTGAAAAAAAGCGTACGATTCTATGTGTATTTCCTGCACTAAATTTTTTCTCGTTACACTCACCAAAACAGTCGTTGACATGTGTCCATGTCCCGTTTATACAGTCACTTACAATTTGATCGGTACCGTGTAATGTTTCATAACCATAATTACATTCATAGACAATTCTTCCCGTATATTTTTGGTCCTCCCAAATAGTCACATTGTACAAAGTAAGAAAACCATTTTTAATGTAAATAGGATAATTGCATCGTGTACTTTGTTTAATTTGATAAACAACTAAATGTATAAACGAAATTAAAATAGAAAACGTCAAAAAATAACGTTTTTTTACATTCACAAACGGGTAATGGAGACCATAGACCGGTGTTTAAACATTCGACGATCATAGATGTTTTACCATCATGTAAACGATGACCTTCTTCACATGTATATTCAAGATTGCTGCCAACCTGAAATAAAACATACAGAGAAAAATATGTCTCAGCAATTCAGGCAAGCAGGCTGTCAATACTAATAATTAGATAATGATTTATGAGATGGCAAATGAAACTAAGAGAAATTCAAAATGTTCATAAGCTGAAATATCATGAATTTTATTGAATCAAAAAAAATAATTCGATACTATTTTTCACTTTTTTTTCCTTCTGTATTCCAATGGGAATTAATATTAATTTGATTATATGCGCCAACGATCGATAATTTACTATGGACAAAAAGCTATTGAATAAGAAATGAGAGATCGCATCAACATTAATATTTATAATAAAACAAGGGATTAGACTGACTCTTCGACTTACGTCAACTGATAGATTCTTGAATAAAATTTCTTAGTCTTACCACATGAAATTGTCGACTATGTTCTGAAAATTTAAAATTCATTTGAGTAATACGAGATCGATGCGGTAAATATAATTTCGAATAATCACACGCTACTTGAACATCTAAATTAAGAGACAATTGCAGCTGCTAATATATAAAAACCCATGATTTACATTTGCAACTAGGCATTGCTGTCCAAGTCCCATCATTTTGGCATTGAATAGTAAGAGATCCTTTTGAATTAGAATCGAATTCATAATTATCCATACAACGTAGAGTAATCGTAGAACCAACAACAATCTGTTGAGGATCATTTTGAAAAAGTGTTGGATTATTCGATTCAATTATTGTATTCGATGGATAATTATCAATAGGTGAACAATGTTTTACAGCTACGGAAAATATTCAAAAAAAAAACAAAAATTGAAAAAAATTGAAAAAATACTGCGAAGACATTGAGCCATTTTCGACCATGTACCATTTTTGCATGTTACAATTTTATTTCCAATTAGGTGAAAATTTGGTAAACATGCATATTCCATGCTACCTATGTAGCCTTGCCCTTTATAATATGAAACTCGATCACGTTTTATTAATCCATTTGTTAATTTAGGCGGCGAAGTTTTGCAATAGAGCAGTGTCTCTATACATATCATAGAAAAAAAGCAACTTTTCAGGAATCAATAATATAAAATCGAATCTTTTTTACCATCGAAATCAGCAAAACACAGCGAAAAAACTAAAGAATAAATAATCGACGGAAACAACATGCTGTTCGTAGTGCAACAGAAAATAATGCAGTCTGAACTGAGTAATGATGATGATATAGACTATTTGGCTCGATAGAAAAATTCTCTTGAGAATCATTCCATAAGGCATTATTTTTTCTTTTTTTCGTGGCAAAATTAATTAATGTATGAGAAAAAAACAGCAGCATTAATTAGATTCACAAAAATGAAAATCAAATGAATGACATATTATATTTATAATATATTCTATAATTTATCAAGCCTATTTGATCCTTTGGGTCTCATCGTAGCGAAAATGTTATACATTTTTAATTCATGAAAATATAGTACATTACACCCTGGACAGAAACACCAACTAACTGGGAAAAAGACAAATACTGCAAGAGAATTATCCGGAATATTTCAGTGCGCATCAATTGGTGAAAGTGCGACATCTATCGAACAAAATTTATTTTAATCAAACTTCGATTCCCACGTATATATTTTTCATCAGAAGAACAGTTTAATCTGTAAATGAAGTTTATATACATATGTAATTATTTGTTCATAACAATAAAAGCATGTAAGGCGGCATTTCCAGTGAACCTACATGCCTACAAAAATTAGCGTGGTCTTGCACAATCCAACAAGAAATCCCTTGTTATTTTACTCTAAAGATAAAACTTCTCTTGAAAGTAGAAAAATAAATTGATAAACTGGTGGAACTCGTGGAATATAATTTACAGAAAATCGATGTGAAATCATATGCGTATCCTTATACTTCTTTTTTTTTAAATATCAAGTCGCTTGTATCTACTAAATGATTAGCACATATCTACCAAATTAACATTTTGATTCAATTTTATTTATTAGAAATGATTTCATAACTGAATTGATATTAGTCATTGACGAAGATTATTCGGGTCCTTTCTTCCAACTATAGATAGATGTATGATAACTCTTCTGAGTACGTTCTCAATTTATTGTTGTTCTTTCTATGGAAATAACCTTGTTTGATAAAAGTAACATGACGAAGCAAATGGTCGTTTTTTTTTTTTATAAACTACACCTTACTCAACATTTAATAAGTTCTTAAATTTTCTATTAGTTATTTTTCAATTCACCAATAAAATTTCAGTAAGTTACCTTTATCATGAATCAACTGTGATAGTTTATCTAAGCAACTCAATATGATTTCAGATGAAAAATTTAATCATTTTTCAACAGTGTTGTGAAATAATCGAAAAAGCTTTCTAGAAAACCTTTACAAGTATCTGACTCGTTGAAAATGTCTTTTAGTATATTATGTTAATGTGCGTTACATTATTTATTTGCTTTACATTTCGCGTTCTTATTTGCAACAAAAATAAAAACGCTGCATGCCTAACGTACTGGTAAGGATTAATTTTTCTAATTTAATTATTAAATAAAAATGAGCTAATTTAGATTTTACGAGTTCAATCGCCCGAAGGTACAAAGAGAATTAATATTACTGCACAAGATACATATCAAAATTTATATGAAAAAGTAACGAGTAATATTTAATTATAATAAAATTATTCGTTATTTTCTATTCAAAGGTTGTTGATGCATTTTCATTATCATCATCCGATGATTTTATTTTATATAAGGAAACACATAAAAAATCACCCATAGATCGTTCATCAGTAAAAATAAATTTTAGGTTTGAAAATAAAATAGAGTAAAAATGCTGAAACATTGTTTTTTGACTCTTTGCAGACATGGCGATCAAATTTATCTTGTTCCAGAACATGATAATGTATTTTCAAAACCAAACAATGTTTCATTCGTTATCAAATCTGATCATCCAATCGATATATCGTCTTCACCATTGAGTTTCATTTCAAAATTAATTGATATTAAAGAAGATGATGTTGATTTACAATTAGATAAAGTCGATGGGAAAATACCTCGACAACAAGATTCACGATTGTATGAAATAATGCTATTTTCTATTGAAATTTATTTCGTGTTTTTCTTTAGATGTCATCATAATCGACATGGCAAATGTCTTCATTGTATACCAATAGAACCATACGATGAAGAATATTTGAAAAATCATAGTCCACCTATTAAACATATGTCGTTTCAAGCTTATATTAGAAAATTACAAAATGAAGCATCTGCTGAACAGTAATAAATATTTGCTTTTGATAAAGTTGACCTTTGATATTTCTCTTTTGTTTGGTAGAAATACATTTTCTAGCCTGGAAAATATAAGTTGCTCGATCAAAGAACAATGCTCGACAGGTCATCCACCATGGCCAAAAGGTATAATTTTAGCCTGTATAAGAGAAAATTCTCGTCAGACATATTTATATAGGTGTTTGTACAAAATGTCAACCGAATCAGATGACACTTATGCGTCAGGTAGAGAGTTTCTGAACAAAAACAAAATACAAATATTAACATTTGATTACCATAACCATGAGGCCTTTTGATCAGCCAAAACAAAATCTGTTAAAATTTCATTCAATACTTTGACTTTGTTTTTTGCTTATAGACACATCGTCATGTTGATAACATCATGTTTGAAAATGGAAATATGGTCAATCGTTTTCTTGAATATTGGCGTTCATCAGGTCATCAGCGCATTGGTTTTCTCTATGGTCGATATGAAATCTACGATGGTGTTCCGCTTGGTGTTCGAGCTGTTGTTACTGCTATCTACGAACCACCACAAGTAAAAATTCAGTTTTGAATTTCATTTTGTTTTTAAAAAAAGAGAATTCTTTGATATAGGAAACATCAAAAGATAGCGTTCAATTGGTTTTCCCTGATCCACAGGAGGCTACTATTGATAAAGTAGCCTATCGTCTTGGTATTCGTCGTATTGGATGGATATTTACGGATCTTATTCCGAATGATAAAAGATCTGGTACTGGGCCTGTTATTCATCATCGAGGAAGTGCGGTATGACAAAATAAAATTGACATAGTTCAAGTTTCTTCAAACATAATTTTTCGAATAGAATACATTATTTTTAACTGCTCAAGAATGCATTATGGCCGGTTGGTTTCAAAATAAAAATTTGAACAAGTGTAAATACTCACCCGATGGATATTTTGGTTCGAAATTCGTTACTGTTGTGGTGACCGGGGATGCAACTGGACAAATTCAATTTGAAGGATATCAAGTATCGAATCAATGTATGGCTTTAGTTAGATCAGAAATTTTACTACCGACGTATGATGCACCTGAATTAGGTTATATTAAAGAAACAAGTCCTGAACAATATGTTCCTGATGTTTATTTTAAAGTAAACATTAGACGAAATAAGGATCCACTAAAGATTTAGTTTCTAATAGGAAAAAGATTCTTACAATAATGAAATCATGAAAATTGGGCGTCCATTGCCTTTAGAATATTTAATTCTTGATGTTCCAACAGGTTTTCCAACAGCAAATAATCAAATGAAATCAACATTTAATGATACATGTTCAATCATAAAAACACCATTCTGTATTGAAAATCGAACGCGAACTGATGAATTACAAGTAACACAATTATATTTCAGTAAAACTTAGTAAATAAATTTCCTGTATTCAATAGGATATGGATACTTTAGCTTTATATTTACAGCAATTCGCAGAAATTGATGTTAAACGAACAAATTCACTCCCGTACAAAACAACAGACATTTTAGCTGATCTTCATCTATTGCTATATTTGGTAGCCAATGATATTTTTCAGTTTTCTATGGTAAGACAAAAGAGAAATTCGAAAGGTCTCGTCGACTGTTACAACAGTATTTTTTTTAATGAAAGTTATATATTCTATAAAATAACACACTATCTAGGATCAAATCGATCCATTATTTGATGCATTACGAAACAATGATCTAAATGGAGTTACAACCTGGATGGAAAGTGAGGCATGGAAAACATTACTTCAACTTGTTCAAATTGAACGTACATATACATATTCTCTAATTGTAAAACGATTTTATTTTAAAAATAATTATTTTAGTCCCAGACTTATCATCATCTATGAAGCAATTGACTCCTACGGTTACCAATGAACAGTCATCAAATTGGACATGTTCAGAATGTACTTTTCTCAATGATAATTCCAATCAAACGTGTGAAATGTGTTCGTTAGATAGAAATCCTGCGTCTTAATTTTTTTTTGGAATTTGCCATCATTTGAATTAATCTGAACTATTAAAACCAAGGCAATCATTTAGAATTGAATATATTTTATTTTTATTTTAGATTAATTTTATTTTCTAATAAAAAAAATGAACGTCGGAATACTCACCTTATCGTTTAATCAAGATTGCACGTAAGACAGCCGATAACTTGTTAATAACAAAAATTAAGTAATATTCTAAACTCTTCTTTTATAGATCGTTGGCGATGGGTACACCAACTACTTATTCTTTATTTACCATTTCTCAAGATAATAAAATTGATGAAATTCATAATTGTGGTAAGAATAAGAAAATTGATTGGTTTCGCTAGAAATTGCTGCCTGTTCAAAATATTTAAAAAAAGTGATCGCTATTAGATACATACATGTATATGACTATATTTATGATATTGCTTAAAATCAGCCGATGAGTTTTTCACAATCTAATTCTTTAAATTTATTTAGAGATCAAACCTTTTATAAATATCCCACTTCTCCGTAAGAAAAAAATATCTATTTCATTATCTAAATAAAAAATATTTGCTTATCTCTTTTTTTAATTTTAATTTTCTCTACTAGCTTATGCCGAAATTTCCACTATTGAACGATTATTTTCCAGTTCGCTAATTGCAGTGGTTAGTAGTCAAGCGCCACGCAAACTAAAAGTATGCCATTTCATAAAAGGTGCAGAAATATTATCCTACTCATTTGCCAATACCATTCTTGCTGTTAAACTTAATCGTTCGGTAAAGAAACAGAATTTCATTTCTTTTGAAAGAAATCAAGAAATTTGCTTGTTTGGTTTTTTGTTTTTAGAGACTTGTCGTTTGTTTGGAAGACAGTATTTATATTCATAATATGCGTGATATGAAATTATTGCATACAATACGTGAGATACCGTCAAATCGTGATGGTCTTTGTACATTATCAATCAGTGATGAAAATCCTTATTTAGCATATCCAGGAAGTTCAATAACCGGTGAAATACAAATATTCGATACAGTCAATTTAGTTAGTAGAAGAGATTTTTTTGAGATATATAAAACGTTTTTATTTCTTTTTTTGAATTCTATTTAGAAACCTGGTATCCTCATAGCTGCTCATGAAAGTCCACTTGCTGCAATGGCATTTGATATGGCCGGTGCTAAAATAGCGACGGCATCGAATAAAGTAATTTGTTTTCGAAATATACATGAAATAGTTTTACGAAACATATTTTCTTTTATCCAGGGAACAGTTATTCGTATTCATAGTAGTATTGATGGTTTGTGTCTCTTTGAATTTCGTCGTGGAGTTCGAAGGTATCCTTGAATAACTTGTCTTAGAATATGTCTCAGTATAGAATATTTTAGAGTTGCAACTATCTATTCATTAGCATTCAGTCCTGATTCCATGTATTTAGCAGCATCAAGTAATACAGAAACAATACATATATTTCGATTAGTCAATCACACAGAAAAGTACAGAAATGATTTTCTTTTGATTAATTCTATTTGAATTTTTTTAAAAGGCCTCCAGAAGTAGCAAGTTCATGGATGGGTTCATTTGCTCGTATGTTCGGTGACATGGCATCTTATTTACCGAAACATACAACAGAAGTTTTAACACAAGATCGTGCATTTGCAAGTGTACATTCACAATCAGCAGGAACAAAAACAACCATTGCAATGAATATGTAAATCATATATGAGAAATCTACTTTTTTGAAAAATATTTTCGATCTTTTCAGTTTTAATAAAACATTAAAATTATTTGTTGCTGGCTATGATGGTGTTTTGTCTGTTTATGAAGTCAATACGAATGAAGGTGGGGAATGTAAACAAATCAGTCAACATCTTCTATTTAATATGATTCAAAATTTAGCCAATACGCAACCAATAATAACGAATGATCGACAAAATTAACTTGGTAAGCTCTTTCTAAAAACAAATCATTTGAAAATTGATTCTTTCGATTAGGTGGTTCTAAACAACTTTCTCCAACAAATACGATACGAAATAAAACTCCTCCTATTTCAGTTTCATTGAAACTGACAAATGCAAAACCGTCGAATGATCAGCCCTTTTCTACTGCAGTAAACGACAAGAATTTTCCTAAATTGCCATTACCGCCAAAATATGACGACGAATAATTAATACACATCTAAAAGTGTTGTACATGATAATAATCTTTGTGTGTGTGTGTAACTCCAATATTTTTTTTTATAAAAATAAAGATAAGGATAATGAATAATATAAACATTAGATTCTCTTTCAACTAACGAGGTTTATTCGATATTTGGACGTTGCTAAAGAGAACATTCGTACTGCATTGAAAAAAATGTAAACTTTACCTACAAACTTTAGAATATTTGACATATCTTCTTCTATTGTTTTTGCTGATCTCCGATGATTTTTATACCAGTGTTGCAATCATTTTCTTATGCTAAATTTTCCTAAATGAGATATTGCTTTGTTGGCGGTGGTCTTTCTGATTATTCAATGAAATACGAAGATATTTGTTATCATAAAAGTAATCCTTACTTTTTAAAATTTATATTTTATTCATTTATGTTACACTCTGGAGTGCCTACATAGAAAAGGAAGGGAGAAGGAGAAGAGAACAAGTGTAAGTGATTCTAATTGCCATAGCTGGGCCATTTCCTAACATTCTATTTTTCGTGTTCCGTAATGTTGAATTTTATATGATGTCGTGTAGGGTGTGATATATCATTTATTCTTATATAAAGTTCAGCCATTTAATCGGTAACGTATCGTGTCTCTTAATTAAGTTTTTTTACTCTTTTTTGCCTGAAGAAATGTCCTAACGAGTCTTTTTCCCTCTTTTTAAATCCATCCCAATCCTAGATCTGTCTTGTAGATTTTTTTGTAATCTTTTGTTTAAATACCTTTTAACAAACACTTCCATGTGGTTTCGGGAGAAATGAATAGAAGGGGAAATATCCACGCAAAGTGTGGAAAGACATAGGCAAAAAAAGCATTTTCTCAAAACGTGAACCGATATTGTTCTACCTTTATTCAACCACTTCAGTTTGACTAAGGCCTTCTCCACACCCTTCTAGACATAGGTCGATTGTAGGTTTCAAAGGCATTTTGCTCGCCCGCCTAAATCCTAAATATTTGAATGCGTTAACTATTTGTAGTTGATATCCCTCCATATGTATCTTTATTTCAGGTCGCTTGATCTGTTTGTAGAAAATCTGAGCTACTGTTTTCTGTACGTTTATTGGCTGTTTCCATTTCTTTGCATAAGCTGCTATTTTGCTGCAGACTAGAGGGTGTGAGTGTAGGTCTGGATCTGGGTGTTTGTCTTCTTTTATGATCCACACCCACACTCTCTTTCATCTTCAAAATTATCAAAGTCTTCACATTGAAATATAAACACGGATTGCTGCATCTCTAAAAATCCCAAAGAGAAGGAGTCGGCAAAAAAAGTAGCTTCTGTAATGTATGCATACATTACAAGATGTCATTTCACAGGTCATTTCTCTATTTTTCCAAAAATAACAATGAAATCTTTACTTTCTCTTTTGGAATCAAATTTCTTTTAGGAAAGAACAGAACTCTTTAACCTCTCGAGTATCTATTAGCAATGCAATGACATTTAACTTGAATAAATTTTGTATCAATTAATTTTATACTTGATGTTCATCGAAGAAAATTTTTGTATTGAGAATTGAGGTTTATTTACTACAGAAATTCCTTTGCAAAAAATGATGTCATCTACATGAAATAGTTCGAAGATTGACAAAATACATGCAGATTTTCTTGCAGATTTTAATTCGTAAGTATGTAATAATTTCTTCAACTCTGCAACAAATCCTTTGTCCTCGTTTTCAAGACACTTCAAGTTCTTCAATCTAAATATTCTAATACAATAACATTATTATTTAAGCATATGTTTTTTTCAGTTTCATTATTATCATAACATATTTTTAATATCTTAAAAGTGGCTGATTATATAGGAAATGAGAAACTTCTAGGAATGACGTAAACTGAAGCTCCATTCAATATTAAAAGCTGAGTATTCTCAAACGTAAGATCAAGCAAAAAATCTCATGCGCTAAAATGGTGACTGCATCAATGTATCGAGTTTTAAGATCATCTCCGTGTCGATTTTGCAGACTAATGTTTCGCATGGAAATTATATGACAAAAAAAAAGATCTACATTTTAGATACTTAGAATACATGCCACTGGCTCATTTTTAAATGCATTTTCGCTTTTTCTAAAATTTTCTTCGAGTCTTAGAAAATGTTCCAGCTTGGCTGTGCAGATCATTATTCAGTTTATTGAAAAAGAGCTTAGTCAGTTAGTCCGTTCTTATATGCTGACTTTCTTCTCTTCGAGTTTCTACGGAGCAGCTTTTAACACACATCTTCTGTCAAATTGGGTATGGAATCTATTGAAAAAAAGAATAGATTGATAGAATGAAAACTGATGAAGTTATATTAATAAGACTGACCCTCACTTTTGCAGACGACTCCGTCAAGAACGGATATATGTCAGATGCAAAAGTTTGAAAGACAATCAATTGATCGGAAAATTCTGATATCGACTTCCAATCAATGGGTTTGTTGTTGTTGTCGTTCTTTTTGCATCTGTTTCTCTACTGTTCAAACATTAAGATTTATGAGCATTCAGATAAAGCGAACAATGGCATAAAATCAAGTATTAAATTGACCCATTTTCACATCTTGGTATGGACAAAAATATCGGCGATAACGGTGTGCAATTGCTCTCAGAAGCATTGAAAACAATAAAAATAACTTCCTTTTTTCAGCATATTTATCTATTATACGGAGCTACTTCTGCACGAAGCACTTATTAAATTCTAGATAGTCAACAGTGAAATACGTGATAGCCACTGTAATATTCTTGACATCGAGTTATTGAGCTCTTATTTTGCAGGCATTGAGCAATTACTAAAAATAAATGATGTATTTAGAAGAGACTTGAAATCTGCAAAGTTAAAGTGGTTTCCAATTAAGTTATTTTCTTAAGTTAGAATAAATTTGGATGATAATTATAAATAAACTTGGCATTTAAATTGAAAGATTCTTACTGAATGTACATAATACTCAACATTGAGATAGTTTAGAATTGTACATGAGCTATACTATTGATTTTGTCTAACTAAAATTTTCTACTATTCTGAATTCCAGCTAAAAAATAAATATATTTTTCAATTCGGAAATAAAATAGTTGTTACATTTTATGTTTCACGAGTCAACAAATCATGAGTTGACGAAAATTGTTGGCTTTGTTTCATGAAATATTCGTAATGATATTTAGATATTTATTTCAAAATTCTTCCTCTAATCATTATAATGTATGTCTAGTAGCTAAGAATTTTTCATAGATTAACATTTCTTCTCCTTATCACATGAAGGATGTTTCCACAAGTTATGATCCTCAACTCTCAATTAAATAAGTATACTATTTATTCGTAAAGTCATTCTAACTTTGTTGTACTTCGCTGCGGATATATTATTGTCCACTGGAACTCTGTTCCTTAAGCATCGTTCACTTTTAGATAAAACTGTAGTAATTTATTGAAAATGCAACCCTCTGAATTTTACTAAATTATTAAAAACATTCTCTTCGACGATATACCGTCTATTAGCACTCCATGTTATGAATAAAATATTTGTGAATCATGGGCAATACTTTGTCTAAAATAAAAGCGATGCAATGAATTAGTGAAATTCTGAGCAAATTTTTGTCTAGTTTCCTAACACAAAATGTTCTTCATTTTCATCATGAATTGAAAGTTTGATCATATTTCAAAATTGTCCTTTTGATTGAATAAACAAAATTTCGAGGATTTTCATCTTTTTTTTTATCTGCACTATCCCTGCCATAGATCTCTCTTCTATCCAAAAACAATATTTCGCTTTTTTTTGTCTATTTCGAAATTTATTTCCGTTCAATATGATTTACATGGCTTTCTTTTCGGCAAGATTTTTAAACATTTTTAACATATATGTATTTCACCCCAACAGCTTGTACACATGCTTGAATCTTATTTCGGAAATTGATGTAGACTAAAATCGAATAATTAGGCAATAAAAAGTCCTTTGGAACATAAATCTAATCGACACTTGATCACTACTGTAGTTCAAATATTTTCAATACAGAAGATCTTGAGGGTGTGGGTGTGTGGATGTGGATGCGTTTCTATTCATCAGCAAAAACTGACACCCACATAATATGATATTGGCGAAGCGTCGAACCATTAATGGAAAAAAAGAAGAAATGAATCAGCGAACAAACACGTAGATAATTAAATTCTAATTGATACTTTGTTTTAAAATTTTCTCGATTATTTGCTAGTATGAAATAAACTTCTGTGTTAACATATTGTTTATTTTAACACTTTAATGCTCTATTATCTATTGTTTCTCTTATGAAAAAATACTAGATATTTTTTTATGTATATTCTCTTGTATTTGTACATGTGTGAAATTTGTATAGATGAATTGGGTGCATTATTAGTTATTTGAGTGAGAGTCGTGTGATTGATAATTTTATGTATATGATATTTTTGTAACGAAAATATAATAAAATTGAAAGAAAACAAACATAAGTCTAATCATTATGAGCTAATTGATGTTCACTCATTATATCTATGATATATCTTAAGAACTGCGATCTGAATGCGATCTATAACTATGAAGAGATGCGACCCAGATACGCAAAACTGCGAAAATTTTATCACAACTGCGCGGAATTACGTCGCAATTATTAGCAATTACGGGTCACAGTTAGGGGTGGCACTTTAACTTTACTTTAGTGTTTTAGAGTTAAAGTGTTTTTACTTCAATCTTAAACTTTAATTAAAGTGAATTTTCTCGTTTACGTTTATAACTACCTAGACCAATTGATTGATACTCGTTAGAGCTAGGGGTGATACTTTAACTTTACTTTAACCGTAAAGTTTAAAATTTAAAGTTGTTTAAAGTCGCCTTTAAACGCTTCTTTTCAATACTTTTTACTGTAGTGGCGTATTTACTCATGCTTATGAGACTCTCTGCAACAGATAAAACACCAAAAAGAAGCATTTTAAGTGTGACTTTAATCAACTTTAAGCTCTGTACTTTACGGTCAATTTAAAGTTAAAGTGCCATCCCTAGTTAGAGCCTTTGCAACTTGTGTAACGTATAAGATGCAAAAAAATGAAGCGACGAAGTAGTGTCAGATGACTTTAAACAACTTTAAACTTTAAGATTAAAGTATAAAGTTGTTTAAAGTTGTTTTAAATTGCTTTATTTTTCATTTATTTTGTCGGCATACGGGTTGCAGAAGGTCTAATGAGTATCAATCAATCAATCCAGACAGTTGAATGCATAAAAAAGAAAATCAACTTTAACTTTAAAAAATAAAGTTAGAGTAAATCAATTTAATTAAAGTTTAAAGTTAAAGTAAAAACACTTTAACTTTAATACTTTTCCTAAAGTGTTTTTAATCGTATTTCCTACTCGAAGATTATTAATTTTGGAGGTAAACAGTTGTAATGATTAATTTTGTCTCTTTAGGACCGAAAGAGTCATAGGGAGAACTTGCTTAATAAAAAAGATTCTATTTATATATGTCGTTTATGAAAAATGCATTCGCTATACATAGACTGAATGAAGCAACTTCTTCTTCTGAAAGACACTACTATAGCTGTCTAATTCAATCCAATTAAATTGTTTTATCTATTTATTGTACAACTCTATCTATTTCTCCGATTCAATTAATTCTCATTGGTTGCTGATTGTCATCCAATAGGTTAAATATAGCAAAATACTCAAATCTTCTTCTTCTCATCATTTTCCACTAGGATTTATTCTTAGAGTAGAAGAAAGTAAAAAGAAAACAAAAAAAATAATGTTAAATGCATTGTTCAAACGTCATTCGGCACCATTAGTAGTTTTTGTGCAACGTCCCATGACGATAAAATCTGATGCTGATCTGAATATTCAAATGAAATTATTCAACGACAAGAAACAGTTTAAAAAAACTCTTGAGTTATTCGATGAACACAAAGAAAAGTATATTGGAACATTATCCAGTTTCACCATTACTCAAGCTTTAAAAGCGTGTGCACAAATCGGTGATCTTCAAAGTGGTTCAACTATTCATCGTCATATTTCGTCGCGTTTAAGCAATGATCATTATATTTTGGCATCATTAATTCATCTTTATAGTAAGACTCAACGATTAGTATTTTTTTCTTCTATTTTTGTTTTGATTAAAGTGCAATGTAGTGATGTTGCTCGTGCAGAATCATTATTCGGCATGTCAAAAAAAAAAACGAAAGCAATGTATGGAGCAATGATGAAAGGTTTGAATCATGTTTTTTTATTATAATAAGTACATTGCATGTAAGTCTGTGTTTAGGTTATGTAGATAATAATCTACCTGAAAAAGCCATCGATCTGTTCAATGAAATTGAGTATCCTGATGATGTTAATAGGATTATTTTATTTAATGCTTGTGCTCAATTGAAAACAAAAGAAGCATTAGATTTAGTGAAAAAAACCTCAAAGCAAATTCCAAAATCATTTTATTCAAATCCACGCCTTTTGACTTCTTTATTAGATGCATTAATGAAATGTGGAGATGTAGCACATGCCGAATCATTGTTTTATAGTTCAAAGCAGAAAGTATTACCAATGTATGGAGCGATAATGAAAGGTATCAATCGTTTAAATATTTATGATAACGTTGAATTGGTTATGTCCCAACGATTCATTTCGTTCTAAGTATTTTTGCATTGTTGTTGTTGGCCATGATCAGCGTCCTTCCTCAGTATGATTTCATAACATATTGACAGCCATTTATTTTTTTTCCAGGTTACGTAGAAAATGATCTAGCTCAAAAAACAATCGAACTTTTCAATGAATTAAAAAATCCTACAGACGTGAATAAAATTCTTTTAAATCAAATGAAATTGGATGATATTCAATCAAGTATACCTATTTATTTGAGTTCTATAAAAGCAGTATCACAAATAGGTGACTACTCCAAAGCTCAATCAATTTTTAAACAAATTCCCGATTCTTTACTTGTTGAAAGTAAAATTCGAAGTGCATTAATCGATCTGTGGGTGAGTTCCAATAAAGTTGTTTCTAATCTTTTGTGGTTTTAAAACAATCGTTTTAGGGAAAAGTTGGATCTGTCGATGAAGCGAAGCTAATTTTTGATAAGATTCGCCAACCAAATATTATCCAATACACAGCCATGGGTTTGTTTTAATAAAAACGTTTCTACAAAAAATTTTAATCAGTTTTTTTTCCATAATCAGTTAATTCTTATGGTTTAAATGGAATGGGTATGCAAGCAATTGCACTTTTTCATCAGATACCACGAGAATTTCTACATGAAGCAACTTATGTTTGTGCCCTGAATGCATGCTCCCATTCAGGGCTTGTTGGTGAAGCTCGTCTCATTTTTAAAAATATTGAAATGAAAACAGTGAGAATTTATTCTACAATGGTATATGAGAAACAATTGTTTTGATAGATTTAAATAATTTTCCGTGTCTGTGTTAATTTAGATCGATTGTCTTAGTCGTGCATCGGCTTTTGAGCAAGCACAAGAATTAATTGATGAATATGAACGTAATCATTCACCAGAGTCAACGATGTATAGTTAGTATCATTCAATCAGTATATTGCTACAACAATAATAAATTAAACGCTTTCTATTGATTATCAGCAAGAAAAGAATCAGATCTAAAGTTTAATCAATTTTAGCTGTTCTAAACATATCAAAGTTGTAGTCGATGAAGAAATTTCAGACAGACCAGGCCCAGGTGGTCTGAAAATATTTCTAGACGAGTAAACTGGCGAATTCACGACATTTTTTAAAGTCATACAATTGATTATGTCGACAAAATCTTTTTCTACGTACATACAAATTTTTATGCTTGTCCTTTTCAAGAATACTAATATTAGAGCACTCGTTATGAAAAAGGCAACGAAAACTTTAAAATCTGTGTGTGTTCTGCACGAGATAAAGTTTCTTCTCATAACAGGCTATGTGAATTTTAATTTCTTTTATTATTGTGGTTCAGTACAATTGTCCAAATTCATGAATTCGATAAAAACTAAAAAGTTATTTTACTTTATTTTGTAGTATTAGACTTATAGGAATACGACCAGTGTGTATCAATATGCATTTAATCAACCGAATATTCTGTCGTCTTTTTTAATTAACTGAACATATGTGTGTGCATATTGATATAAAAGAGAACGAATAATATCAAATAAATGATCAACACTAGGCAATGTTTTGATTATTAACACATTTTAAACAATAAATAATAAAACTTCGATTTGAAAACAAAATTACAGAATAAAAAACTTGAATTTACCTTTCAAAGCGAAACTATTGTTCCTTCTTTCTTTTGAAATATGTCCCAAATAGACAATCATTATATTTTACTAATGGGATTTTGATACACAATAAAATCTCATTTTATTTCTAAATCATATTTTTAGTGGCATTGCTGTCAGGTGCTCGAAATGCGAAGAATGTTTATTTATCACAAAATATTTACGATCGAATGAAAAAGCTTTTTCTTGAAAAAAAGGATCCATTAATTTCAGCTGCAGTTCTTCTTGCTAATACTTATGCGTCATCCGGTGAAATTGACAAAGCATCAGATATTAGATTGGAAATTTACAAATCAGGTACCAAGAAAAAAGTCGGTCTCACGTGGATTACAGTCGATGGACAACTCTATGTAAGTCAACAGTTATCCTATTTATCATCTACACATATAATATGAAATCATTTTTGTAGACATTTCGAGCTCATGATCGATCCCATCCTCGATCAAATGAAATCTATGCGGAAGGTGAAAAAATATCAAATGAAATCATTAAATATCGTCATCAATATGATTGAAGTTGGATCACACGCATATTGGATGAAGATGAAACCGTTGAGTCAGTTCTTTGTGGGCACAGTGAAAGACTTGCCATCCCACGTTGATCAAAACGGACTCGTTTACGGTCTGTTTGTCGACGGTAAACGATGTCAAAACGGTATCTTTACGGCAGTACATAGGCCATATTTGCCCGTAATACCTGGCGCAGTAATACGGCACCGTAAACGGGACTGAATTTTCATGGTTTACGGCTGTTTGCGCTCCGTACTCTCATGATAATACGGTCCGTATTACTGCGCCAGATATTACGGCAAAATTTCGCCCGTAAAATAGTCGTAAAGTAACCGTCAATGGCCGTATACGGACCGTACTGTTCGACCTGGGATTGCATGGGGTTTCGTTGCGAATCCTAACGCATCAAAACTACAAATGGTAAAAAATTTTCGTATTTGTGGTGATTGTCGTATGTGGTGATTATCGTATGTGGCGATCGTCGTATGTGATGATTTCAATAGTTTTAATTTAATTTAAAATTTTCTCTTTCATAGATCGTTCTACAAAACTGATAGCTGCTATTCTTCAATGTGAAATAATCGTTCGCGATGCAAATCGTATACATCACTTCTATAAAAATGGACAGTGCTCGTGTAATGACTATTTCTAAAAGAAAACAAAATAGCTTTTTCTTTCTCTTTTTCTTTTTTGTTATATTAGTTTTATATAGAAATAAACTTGAAAAAGAGCAATGGTTTCTCTTTGTGTACCCAAAAAGTGAGTACACTCTAGATTCGGTCAGTGTGTCCATCCGCTAACACAATAACTCTTGAAAGCCGCATCCAATTGTCATGACATTTTGTGCACACAACAATCGGATGCAAATCTGATGTCTCCGCATTTATTTTTATAGAAGTCACTCAAAATCGAATGTGTAGGTCAAAGGAGAACTCCATAATGGCATAGATGTCTCTCTCTCTCTCTCGATGAACATAAACTACAGAAACATCATCGTTCAAGAGAATATCGGATAGAAACATTTGTACACAAATGATATCGCTATTGTCCCATAACAGGCTCAAAATGTGTGTCAGTAATTGTTATTGTTATTGTGTGTCTAAATATTAGAAACTGGTTAAATAATTGTTTGGTTCGTTATTTCATTCACTAATCTTAGTGTTAATCATAATATTCAAATATAAATTCATCCAACGATTTCATATGACAGTTATAATAACTATCCAAACTTGAGCTTCTCATCAGGCAAAGACCAGATGTACAACTGTTCAATAACATAACATTCTTTATTTTATTTGTTACACACGTGTATGTGTGTGTATTTAAATTTCTCAACAAGATAGAATATTAAAATAC